TGGAGCAATTCCTTCATAGCGATTACTACTTTTTTACCCAAATTAAAAAAAAAATGTGCTTACAAGCATTATCTTACATTAGAAAATAGATTAAAAAAGAGAAAATTGTGAAAGATAACTGAATTCTTTCAAAAATATCTCTCATAATAAGGTATTTTTAAAAGCAATCTTTTCTATAACTTTAACTATTTTTAATAAAAAAAATTAATTTTAGATAAAATTATTTTTAATGAAACCGATCTATATATTTAGATTCGTACCTTAAATCGACTCATATCCTTTGAGCTTTCCTTGTCAAATTATTCATCTTTAGAGTATTCTTTATAAAAAAAAAAATTTAAACATTTGGAGTATTTTGGAGTAGTTTTTGTACAAAAAAAAAACCTTTGAGCGTTTTGAGTATTTTAGAATAGTTTTTGATACATGGAGAAAAACTTTTGAGCATTTTTCAATAAGTAAATATATTCATTGATTATATTATTAAATGGAGTATGATGTGTTGTTTGAAGTTATTGATTTTGTTAAATAAAATTTAGTAGTTTGATAGATTTTAAGCATTGTGTAACCGATTTATGAGCATTTCATGATTAGTTTTTAAATATTATTTGATTTTTAAATATTACGTGACTGATTAATATGACATTGCATGACTAGTTAGTAAGGCATTGCATGACTAATTTTTGGGCATTGCGTGACTTAAGTATTACTTAAAAATCAATCATGCAATGCCTACAATCTACACAGACCAAACATGCAATGATTGGTTGCTAGTTTTTAAGTATTACACAATGCCTGAAAACCAGTTTCATAATATTTAAAAACTAGTAACATAATATCTAAAAACTAGTAATGTAATACTTAATAACTAATTGATTTGTTTGCTCGTAGTCTGACTTAAGTTGCTAAAGTCATATAATGTTCAAATTTACAGATATATCTAATAAATTTCAATCCCTTAATTTTGGAGTTCTATGAATATAAACCAATGAACTTAAAAACCTAAAACACATACCTTGATGCTACCTCTTTTTTTTGGGATAGCAAGATAGATAGTATTTAGCAAAAGAGAGAAATCAGAATTTAATTTTAAAATTTTTATCTGGATGGTGAGATAGAGAAAATCAAAATCATTTTAATTTGTCTAAAATTGTTTAAAGAACATTATTATTAAGTCATGCTAAAAATTAATTAAAAATAATTAAAATTATAATGAATAATATTTTTAAATTGAACTTATAAAGAAAAATGCCCTAAATATAATTTTCATTACTTTACTTGCACAAGTGATCATAAAAAAGAAAGACGTCATTTAGCTATTTGCATATTTGTCAACAATTTAAACAAACCATAAGAAAACAAAAATGCATGCAATAGAATCCAAACTTATTTAACACTCAGAGCAAATAAGAAATTTATAATACTGAGACAGAAAAAAATAAAATCATAATTATTAGAATATGACTCAATAAGTAATTTGGAAAATATATCAGAGTCATCGGATTAATGGTTCAATCCTTAAGGTAACAGTTGAACTGCATATTTAAGTGATAATGCTTGACTTGATAATTATAAAAGTTTAAGCCTTCCTTGAGCCAAGATTTTAATCCAATTAATGACATTTAAATGACTTTAATTTAATATAATTCTTTTAACATGAATCAAACTAGTTTTACCGTCTGGGTCAATACTAAAAATTTATCTTTGATAACACTAGTCCAGAATTTCTCTTGATGAAACAGAGGTAAACAAAAGAAAGTAGGGAAAGAAATGCCTAATTCCAGCGTAATTGTAGAATCAAGGGTTCCTTTATTGATGATGTGCATTCAGCTATTAAAGAAGAAGGCAATCTAGGAACTTGGCCGCATATTCTTGCCTCCTGCTCCATGGGAGTCATCACTCAAGCCTCTGCTGGCCACTTGGGTGATCTTGAGCCCGCAACATTTCCATTGCTTATAATTTCCATCCTTGGGCTTTGATTTTGACCTTCTAAGACTCTCTTCTTGCATATTTTACGTGTGTCTGCGCGTGCGCCTGTATATGTAAATTTGTCTTTCTCTTTGATTTCTTTGCATTTAATTTGTTTCAGTTAGGCATGGCAGTGCACTAGCAAATACACTGTGCCGGCAAGCTGATGGGGCAAAGACATGCTTTTTGTTGGGTTTATAAATGCAAAGATTATGGATTGATCACAAACGAGCCCTAATATGATACCATTTACAATTCAGACTTGTTAAATATACCCATCATATTAAAATGGTTAAAATTGAATGGAGCAAATATTACAAT